TGACTTTGGCTTTTCCTTCTGATTCTGTACTGCGCTGCCCGACTGTTGATGACCCTGGCTATACCATGACTCTGCTCCAGTCTCTTGTCCTCACTACCTACCTTGCTCTGCTGCACGTCTGGCAATTCACAGAACCTACTCTGTCTATTATTATGGTGTCCAAATCAGAGGATCATCCACCTTCCAAGGTCATCATCTGCAAGAGCTGCAAGCAACAACCACTGTCGCTCTTGTCCCCCTGGTCCCTAGACTCCCTCTGTTCCAACATCAGCAGGGCTAGTGAAACAGGGCTAGTGAAACAAGTGAGGCAATGACCTCGTCAATTCAGCCTCCATGTTTTTGGCATCAAAATGCGCACGTTTTATTATGCTATACTTCTGTAAACTAAACTTACATCTTTTAGAAGAGACTTTAGTTACTAAAGTCTCTTTTTAAAGATGCAGGAGATAAACAAAAAATACAAAATGTTTACTACAGGTTTAAAGTATGTTTAAATTGACATATTAAAAATATGTTATAATTTTTTTTTTTATATTTTGGACTCTTTATTCTAAAGAAAAATGTAATTTCATAAGCTTTAAGGGGGCGTGGTTGGGGGCAGGGTTGGGGGAAGGGCTGAGGGTGGGGTTGGAGGCAGACCTGAGAAAGGTTGGGTGGGGCAACTGGTGGAGAATAAGGTTTGTGCCTGGCTAGTAGGTCTAGACTTGAAATTTTAAGCCCTGATATATGTTTGTATATGCACAAAAAATATCTCTAAATATCCGGGGAAATGACAAGGGAAAATAAATATATTTTACTAAATGTAACATTTCTATGTTTATATCCATATTTTTGATTTCTATGCATTACTGTTGAGAGACTATTGATCCAAAAAGGCAGATAACACTTCAAAATTGGCTATTATATCTTTGCATTCCTTTAAAATCATATGCCTGAACCACTATTTATTTAACAGTTGAATAGTCCACCAAAGCTATGGCTCAGAGAATAGTAAATATGATTTCTGTAACGATTATATTTAATCTCATTCTACGATTTTACAAGCATGGACTGTCTGTATTATGTTTTACTTTTAGAACAAAATTTGTACTGGTAGCAAATACAACTATTTATGTGATAACAGGATAGAGGTTGAAGTAGAATTTAGCCCCTTTATTGTTCCCACTGTATTCCCTTAGATCACTAAATATTTGAGATGACCATGTTTAAAAGTAGTTGATAACTGATCGCATGATCTATAACAAAATATTACATAGGCCAGTTTGAAATCCTCACGTTAAATTAACACAATGCCAGCAATTATGTATCAAGTAAAATAATTCTCTATAGGAAACCACAAGCCAACTATATGAATACAGAATAGAATCTTAAAGGATCAATAGTCATGTGTTACCTTCCATAGATATGTAAAATTAAAATTAAAGTTGTCCTCAAATAAAGAAAGTAAGTTAAAATTATCCTCCATGGTAACCTCCAATGTTGTGGAGAGAATCTTTTAATCATAAATCCTGATCAACACAACACTGGCAACCTAAGTCTTTCAGCTACAATAACATGCAGGAAACATGACATGCAGAAAATATGGAAGGTAGCTGAAAGTAATACCTTCCTTCTCAAATAAAGTAAGAAACATAAATTAACTCTTGAAAGGAAAATTCCTCAATGGCACACAAAAAGCAAAAAGTAACCTTGCAGGGGTTTTAGCTCTTCCCTACTCTATGCAAAACTACAAAAAAAAAATGTGTAATGCTGCAGCTGTCTCTAAAACCAAGAACTGAGTGATCACATGAACGCTGATCACTCTGTTCCTGGTCTTAGCTGATCTACCCCTCCAGTTGTCACTGGAGCACCAGGTGACAGAGGGAACTGGTGCCTTTGGCTCTCAGCTGCTTTGTGAGTGGCTGAGCCAGCTGTCAATCAGGCAGCTGGGTGGTTCCCACTATAAGCTGACTCTGAGTCACAGAAGCACAAAAGTAAAAAAGGAAGTAAACAATAAAAAGCTTTGGCCATACTTCTCTTTTACGCTCTGCAAAAATATTGTACCATTTATAGAAGGTGAGGTCTCTTGAAAGCACATGGTTTTGGAAGTCAGCTAATGCTAATGAATGATCGTCAGTTATTGTTCTTTATGGTTGTGCTAAACCTATTCACTTTTTGGATTATAAATGGAGTAATAAAGTTTCAAAAAGTGAAACTAAGACCTCAAGAAGGCTCCTGTCATTTGGTGATGAGAAAAATATCAGTAGCCATAGCTCTTGGGCCTTACACCAAGACTTTAGGTTGAAATGTAAGCAATACTGGATAAAATAAGGTAAAACCTAACAAATAAATGCTTTTACTTGCTTTCAGTGGTAAATTTAGCAGATCAAAGTTAAGCACTTTGCTTAAAAAATACCTGTTAATCCTGCTCAACAGACGTGACAGTAAATTAAGTGAGCATTGTCACCCTAGGACAGGAAGCATGGTACTGGCAGAACCACCAGGTGAAAATAAAAGTCAAATCAAGTCTGAATAAAAAAACACTAATGCAATGACCACATCTATGGACTGGTAAGTTGCAATATATTAAATGTTTTCTATGGAGTTCATACACTTTTTTTTAAATATCAATCTTTTTATTGGTGTTTTTGTCATAGTACAAAAAATTAAAAATAACAGGTATGTAAAAATGAACATACTCTATATTATTATAGTATTTGAAAAATGATAACATATTAAACATATGAAATAAACATAGATAAATTATGTATCTAATGACCAATGATGAGGAATATCCCTACATAGTGCATGATCATTAGCAATATTAAAGAGATCTATGTATACGTACAAATAATGTTGAGAATTCACAAACAGGCCTGGTTTCTTGTCCAGGTGAGTGTGTAAGTGAATCTTCATAAAAGGCACTGTGTAATATATCATTTCAAGTGATCGTGAGCCATAGAAATTGGCTTTAAAAATCTGGTCAATATTGAAAATAAACCAGAATAAAAAAAATAGGAAAAAGAGGGGAACAAGGAAATTTTGAGGGCAGTCAGTGTCACCTCATGCAGACATAGATAAATGTTGAATGCAGGCTAATAATGTAAGTTAACCAATAAAGGGTATTACTTAAGCTTCACAATTTCTGCATTAATCAATATCTAATATGGTGCAATACTCTACTACTACCATCGAGGTTTTGCAGATACAGCTTTAAGTGATCAAATGCTGATGTTTTCATTTCAGTCATTCACTTTGCATTAGGATAACAAAGTGAAACACTTCTCTAACAATGCTGGGAATGTAACAAGTTGCAGCAAACTTCAAGAAACACTATGGAATAATGACAACATTTTTAACTTCAAGGAACCCCTTGTAGTTTAGTTATTATGCATATTTTCTTATAACAATAATGAAGCCTTCACTACAAACTGTCTAGACATTATTCATACCATCATGTAAATTAGGGTTGATTTAGTAAAGGAGCAGTAAATGTCCCCTTAAATTAGTCAATAAGGTGAAGAAGGTCTGTTCACTTCAATCAACCAATTATGTATAAAGCACATTCGTGTTTTATGGTTTTGTTTTGTTTTTAATTTCCCTTGGGCATAGGTAGACAAATAACCTTTTTTTTTTTTTACTAAGCTAAACAAACATTTGCTTTGATAAGTAAACATGTTTTCTTTTAGTAAATTAACCCTATTGCTTGAGCAGATTTTTATTATGCAGTTCAAATTTATTGCAAAAAGGCAATAGGCTGATAAAAAGCTCAAGAGAAGGTAGTATTTATGTATTAAATTAAATTACTCACTTATACCTTCTCTATTTGTCCTAGTAATCATTGCCAGCTTGACAAATTCATGATAAAGACCAAAGTGCTAGCATTGTCTTCCAAAACAAGATTTGAGGGTAAATCTCCCAATGGGCAACCCTGTTATGACAGCAAAGCAAGAAATTCTCCTCACCTTGGAGGATTTCCCTTTGCTTTTGTTGCATCTTTGGGACAGGGAGTGAAGGGAAATCTCTTTAACAGGACACAGACAACAGAAAAATAAATTCAGGGAGGTTTAACCCATCACTACTATATCCAAAAACAAAAATAAGAAGCCTTGGACATACATGCACTTTAATTTCAGTAAATATTTTAAAATATTATCATAAATATTTATGCCAATCAATATCCTTTTATCTTTATTATGCCTTAAAAGCCCTTTAAAACATCTCATCTTTTAAATGATACTCTGGATGGCATAGGGAGGCTCAAGTTACCAAACCTGTAAGTGGTTTTAGTTGTCCACTTTAGTTTTGAAACACCTGACATTATACGATAATACAGAATAAGTAGAATGGCAAATATCACATATAATTTATTTATGTTGCTCTTTAATTGCAGATCTACAAACAAAATTGAATCCATAACATTTGGAAATTGGTAATTTAAGGATAATCTGGCATGGCTAAGTGGTGTGGCTTGGAAACTTTTCAGAAATGCTGACAAAACGTGATGTGAAATGTCACCTGATGATATAACTAAAATAATAATAATAAATACCATCTGATTTAATATTAAAGTATTCCTCAAGAACCCAAAAAAGCACTATCACCATGAATACAGCAGTTGTCATTTTATTGGTTGCTCAAAAGCTGTTGGTATGTGAGCCAACATGAATATAAAATATTTGGCAATCTTTAAATATTCATTAAGAACCCACAAAGCCACTGTCATCATGAAAACGTCAATTGTCTTTCTATTTGTTGCCTAGGTATGTTGTTGCCTAGGTATGCCAAAATTAATATTGACTCCATAACATTTGGTAAATTTTAATTTTAGGATAATCTGGCATGGCTAAGTGGTGTAGCTTGGAAACTTTTCATAAGTACTTACAAAATGTCATGTGAAATGTCACCTGATGACATAACTATCTTCCAATAATATAAATACCATCTACTTTCATACTGGTTCATCAGATCTTGTGGCAATCTCTAAGTATTCCTCAAGAACCCACAAACCCTCTGTCATCATGAAAGCAGCAGCTATCTTTCTACTGGTTGCTCTAAGCTGTTGCTTTGGTAAGCCAAAACCAATGTAAAATATTTCTCTTTAAAATAACTCTCAACATTTATGTTTAATGTAATGTTACACACATGCCAAATTTTAGATATGATTTTAGAAATGAATGTATTGCATTAGCGGTCTTAGTTAATTAACTGAAATATATATATTTTATTTCATCTGTGCTAATTTTACCTTCTAACAACTATGTTCTAGCTATAAATTATTAGATTGTCAGATTGCGTATCCTTTTATAGTGAACTTCATAACAGTATTGTTTTACATTTCTCATTTGTGTAAAACTATTATAGTAGATTGGTTGATTTATTTATTCTATCAGTGCTGTTATTAGTGAGGCATAGCCTTTATTGAAAATATTATTTTAAACATATATAATGAATTAGTAACTATACATGACTTCTGATGCATGTGCACCTAGTCCAGTTAAAGGTTAGCAAAACCACTGATTTTGTATATAATTAACATCATTTTCATTGTGAACTGGTCTTTAACAAATTAGTAATTTACTACTACATATACTTGGATATGTTACATTTCTGTAAAATGTAATTCATGCATTGGCAGTCAAAACTGTAGAAAGCCTACAGGCAATGTTGGCGACAAATTCTTTGTTCTCTGATGGCCTTTTTTTAAAAAAAAAAAAAAAAACAGCTTCCATGGTGCAGGTCCTTTTTAAGTGTGTTTCTGCACTGTATCCATTGTGCCAATACTAGCATGCAGGTGGGGGACATAAATGAAGGCATTCATTTCAAAGGCAACATTTAATGTAAGAGCCTTAACCTGCATTTTAATGCAAGAGAAATGCCCTGGTCAGATGTTGCATGATTATTCTTTTCTATGACATTATCAAACAGTTCAAGACAGATGGGGACAAAGTAAAACATTGCCCAAGTACCCACTCTTATTCATTGTGGATAGATAGATATGTGAAGTAGTCTATGCTACCCTGAGCTCTGTCATAAAATTCTGCTAGGGTTAAATAGTGAACATTCCTTCAAGAACAAATGATCTCTGGGAGAAATGGGAGAAGTATTCTGCATATCTTACAGGGAGTAATGAAGGTGTTCACTATGCTGCAATGTTTGGTCATTATAAACCAGGAACACAGTTGGGAAAGCAAGAATGATTTCTATGTCTTTTTACTAGACAGGAGGAGTCATTAGATACAAATCTTTTATAAGGGTCCAGAAAGCCCTTATACAGCTACTCAGTCTTCACAAATGGTTTGTCTACCCCAGGTGCCAGATAAAAATGCTTAACAGCAATGTTCATCTAGCCTATCTAGACATGATACAAAATCCCTTGTTATCCTAACAATTTAAACATATGTAAATCTAGTTTTAAGCTTTTAGAAGCAAGATTAATTGTGTATCTCTGGGAGTTGTGCTTCACAATTAATTGAAAGGTAAGTGCTTTGAATGGTACCCATGGGGGTTGTGCTTCACAATTAGCTGAAAGCTGAGTGTTTTGAATGAATTCATGTTTTCCAGTGCTGATTTATTTGAAAATATAGATTAATAATAGGGTAAATAATTACCCTTGGCATAATGCTCTCAAGACTAAGATATCTACAGAAGGAAACAATATGCAATATACATTGCTTTTGTCTATAATTTGCCTTAAAACCCAATTGAACCTTCCTGTTCAATTACGTAAACAAAGCTTTTGTTTATAAAAAATCTGCAGCTTCCCTAAAACAGCCTGTCCCCCATTAGTAGTCTGCAGGGCAGGATCGTGCAAGAGCAGCAGTGTCTCTGCAGAGGTCCACCACAGCCCTTGTATCAGAGTTAGATCACTCCAATCAGCAGGAAGTGTGAGCTTTGCTAATTGCTTAGCTTTCACTCAAACTCACAGAGGGCATAGCAGACCTAAGACCCTGCATTCACTATACCTGGTCTCCCACAGTACACAGAACATAGAAATGCAATTATTTTAGTAAATATAAACTGCTAAATACCTTTTCTCATCAGCAGTTAGAGCAGTCTTGTGATGAAGAACACCTGACCTCTATCTGGACAGTGCTGATTGTCCCTGTGCTGATCACATGCACTGTCCCAAGAAAAAAAAAAAAAAAACTTTCTAGCAATACACACCAAACTGAGCATGTTTAGAGTGTCTCCACACGATATGTCTTATTGGGAGATGAGAGGAGGACAGTGGAAGAAGGGGAGGGTCAGAGAAGTCAGGATCAGCATTTTCACACAATGCAGAAGATAAATCCCTTAAGTTCCAGTGTGATTATAACAAGCATGCTTTACTGCATATACAGACTGATTTGTTGTAGGTTTAGTACCACTTTAAGCATACTTAACAGGCTTAAATAATTTAAGAGGGGGGTTAATTGGGCTCTACATTAACAATAATATTAAAATAGCCATAGTAATAATAATAATAATAATAATAATAATAATAATAATGATATTAATAATAATTACAATAACATCAGCATCATTCTTATCATCATCACCTGTTTGTTTTACAGACATCCCTGCTGCCTCCAAAGGAAAACATACATACCCTGCTCCCGAACTCATTTCACGTGACTGCATAAAAGAGTTATTGAAGGTATGTCAGACTAAGATCAGAGATGTCTGTAGCAGGAGAGAAACCCAGATACTCAGTTACTTTTCTATATCTCCATGACCATATATTCTGTTCATAGTTGTATAAGATCAGAGATGATTTGGTAAAGGATTTAAAGGACCCTTGCTCACTTCTTACCTGGTGTGTGAAGGAATAAAAATGATTATTTCTTACCTCAGTAGTAATACTTCTTTGAACAAATGCAGCATACAATTATTTTAATAATGACCATACATTTAAAAACACCTTTTCTGTTTGATAATGCAAAAATTAAGATAACATACAAAAAAATGTGTGCTAAAAGCTACAGTTAAATATCAATAGTTCTAAATAAGTCACAATCAATAAATCTTAATGAGAAAATAATCACTTGTTGACTGACTCTCTGTCTGAGTTCAGCTACTAGTATTCAGCTGCTTAAATTTCAACCCCACGCATTTTTGAAACAGTTACCCAGCAAGAGTTTCAAAACAAAAATCCTCTCTAGCAAGCAATACTCACCTCCTTCTCTAGTGCTGTCCCCACATTATTTCACAGTCCTGTGGATTAAATAACACCCAGTTATTAGATACTGTGAGAGCAGGGCATCATGAATCTGCCAAGGTGCGCTGAACCCACATATAATGATGCAAAAGTTGGTGGTGACATCATCACATCAGTGCTGTGCTCTGTATCAATGGGGACCACTCAACACTGTAGAGGATCAGAAGAGGAAGAAGCCCCAGCCCATCATGTGACTGGCTTGAACACATCGGAAAAATGTGAATATAAAAAGACAAAAAATAAGGCTGGAGGTGAATTTTGTGGAGAGGGGGCCAGAACCTTGGGTTAGACTTTGAAATATTTTTTTTTAAAAAAGGAAAGGTGGAGAAGGTGCCACTGAGTGTAGACTGTAAACAGTTTATTACAAGTCAGTTAAAATAACACTCACATCTTGGAGATATATGTAGGCACATCTTTAGTGTATGGCTGTCTTCCAGGATGGGCGTGGACATGTTGTAGGTGTGGAACCTACAGAGGATGGGTCTAGAACAGGCTTGGAGCTGTGTACAGTAAGTCCAGGTCAGGCTGTAGTGTGGAGGAAGCCAAGTGTGCTTCACAATTTGCGGTGGAATGCAGGTGAACTGCAGCGTTCCTCGTGACCTGTACCTGGGATACAGCCATAAACACAGTGACATTCCAGGGCCACTCCACAGCCACTTAATCGGTCAGATGGTCTCTGCCAACACCCCCCTTGATGCCAAAGAAATGTAGACTGCAACTACAATGGTCAGCTCTCCCCCCTTGATGCCAAAGAAATGTAGACTGCAACTACAATGGTCAGCTCTCGTGTACCATCAAATGAAGAAAGATCTGTTATGAGAGCCAACATATCACCTTGCTTATTGACCAGAAGTGACACAATGACGTTTCGGAGCATGCACTCCAGCTACAAGGGCACGCTCCATTCTCACCTATGGACTAACTAGAGGACAAATTCTGCACCAACTCTATTCCCTTTTAAATATATTTTGCCTAAACAGTAAACCATGGATGAAGCTAGATGAGCACTACATGCTTCCATATCCCATCTTACATAGCACACTTACTCCTCACCTAGTGGTTTCAGTCACATGACTTCCCATGAGGTCAATTATCAGTTGCCCTAGGTGGCACTCATAGAGGCACAGTGGGGGGGGGGGGGGGGCACTGAGGCTGGAATGTTCATACTGGACACTCCGTCCTTAGTGCAGCTCAGTAATGCCTAACCTACTAAAACCAAAGGCTCAGTGTTTCCAAGCCCCCTGCCTGGTTGCTGTGCATGACACATACAGTAGGTAGATGTAGCATCCAAAGCTCTTCATTGATACAGAATCTGTTAAAAGAGAAAATTCAGTGTAGTAAAAAAGTAGTGCAGTACTTCCAACACTTGCCTGTATGGCGGGGGCACACACTGGTAGCACTATCATCCTTCTATGCAGTGCAGGAGGAGTGTTGAGGATAGAAAAAATGGCTGCCTTACGCCACCTTTAAAGCAAAGTTGAAGTTTTAGTCTGTCATTGGAATCGATGCACACTGTGAAATGAATGCATAAACATGTATATTGTACAACAATTTATTACCAACTCTTAATTTCTCTGGCTAAATATATATTAAAGTGTATGTCATGCCAAAAGCTTTTTTTTTTTAGTTCTTGATACAGTGAGAAAGAATTAGAGCTCCTGACAGGTTTTTCTGCTATGTGGAACTTCTTTTAAGAGATTTACAATCTTCTCTTTCTTGTCTGACAGGTGTGCTAACCTTTTCTTACTTTACTGAAGAAATCATTTTTAATTCAGTTGGTGTTGCTGTTGGGAGGTTTTTTAAATCCTGTCTAGTGAAGCTGTTTTCAGCAGGGCAGGAAATTAGGCTAGACCTCTCCAATGGAGGCATGGGTGGTGGAAAAACCTGTCAGGGTCAAACTGCTTCCCTAAAGACAAAGAAGTGTGGCTGGATAAACATTTTAAAGCTGACCTCTAGTCAGATGTAAAATAAGCATTTGGACACAGCTCTGTAGCCATATAACACATCATTTGATATGAGTACAAGCAGTGTAACTACCAGCATTTGATCTTAGCTCCTTCCAGTCACTGAACAGGAGGGCTGAAGTGTGAGAGGAAGAAGCAGCACAAGAAGCCAATCTGTGCTAACAAGAAGCATACTGATAGGAAGAGAAAGCAATGGAGAGATGAGTTCATCACTGTGGTGCTTCTCCTTTTACTGTCCAGTTTTGGGCTCGGCAGGTCCAGGATGACCTGGGCTTAGAAGAAGTGAGTCAAATGATGCTAGCTATCAGACTGAGGACATCTAGTCACAAAAGTATTGTGGGGAAATCTCTGGATTACAGGCAAATATTGTAACAAAAGCTGTTTTTTTTTTTATTTTATCTTTTAATGGGTTATTCATTTTTCCTTATTTTTGGCTGGTGTAAATAAAGTTATTTACATGTATAACATCAAGACAGGTGAAATCTAATGAAACTACTACAGCATCAATATGTCTTTCAGTGATGTAAAACATCTATTTAAAAAGTTCATCCACTTTATAAACTGCTTTTTAATTTGGCAGAATCTAGATCAAAGTGTCAGTACTGTAATATAACTTTCATTATGCCATTCAGCAAAATGCATCAAAATCAATAATTTTGTATTTTTTTAGTCTTCTCTTCCTGACACTCTTTTGAGACTCCAGGAAATGCTGTGCTGTTTTTCGCAAGCTAAGGTAAGGTTTGCATTAATTCTACTTTTTTCTTCTGTTATGGTACAATTACCATTGAGAGTTTTAAATGAGTTCCTTTGAAGATGTTTAATAGCATATATAAGTCTTGCTAGTAATAACAAATGTAATTTCCAAATATATATTGAATGATAATAATAATAACAACAATTGTAGCACTACCCCCTTAGGAGTTTCTGATGTTTTGGGTTCACCTATAATGCTGCACAACCAGGCAACTGGCATTTCCTTCAGACTTACAATTCAGAGACAGTAAACAGTCCTTGCTCTTGTTTTTCTTTTTTCGTTTTATTAGGGTATTTGAACTTAGATGGGGTGAGGAGTGTATAGGATACCCAAGGGAACTGCAACTGAGGACAACTTCCTGGCAACTACGTACATGTCTTTTTACAGCAAAACGTTCCTTCTTGGAGAGTCTCCAGCCTCTCCTGGTATACCACCCCAAACCCCAGATGAATCCTCTTCTCATCCAGCTACCTGGAGGAAATTCCAGTGTATGCCACTTTAAGTAGAACAGTCTTGGGTAAGGAGCTAGTCAGGTTTCCCACCAGAATGCTCTATTCCCCTTTACTGGCTCAGGGAGTGTTGGATTACTCACTCAGTCTTTTCATGTGAGCTGATTGGGTTGGTGGTTGCCTTCAGGCCTTCTTTTGGGCTGGCTCCCCAGGTGGTCCTCCCTCCAGGGAGTGGTTGAGTGATCCTCCTTTCCAGATCCACAGCTTGTAGGTAGGCCACTTCCCACTTGGCCCCCTCCCAGGCTCCTGCTCCTCAGCAGCTTCCTCACATCTTCTACGCAAACACTCCTGCTGCTGAGCAGGCTCAAGCACACTCAAAGGCTGCCCTGGCTCCATGCCTATCCTCCTGCTTGGGGATTGGCCAAAATACTTCAAGTGTGCAGGCCAACTCCTCCTTACCAACGCCTACTGCTTCTAGAATCTTTTCCAAAATTCCAGAGCAGAGGGAGCTGTTAGGGAACTGGCCTGGGGAGCCTCTCAGCCCTGACCCAAATTTGATCCTGCTAACTATTTATCAGGTTGCTATTCAACCTAACTAGGAATTAGCAACTAGCTCATCCTGGCTATCTAGAGGGGTGCTACATAATAATAGTAATAATAAAGATTATTACAACAATAACATGAGTAATCAGCAGCATTAGGAATGAGGAAGCAAATAACCTGTTCAAGTCATGTGTATACCATCTGTTAAATCTATTTATAGTCAAAGTCGACTTAAACCTGATCTTTATTGGGAAGCTTAGAACTAGTGAAAAGCATATACTGCATGGCCTTGCTAATGTGGTCATCCTAGGTAAAATGTATGTTAGGGGCTGATTGCTGGACTACAGAATTTTTTTTTTCTTCTCCATATGTGTACATTAAATTATTTCCCAGTGAAACTATACTGCTTTGTCTCCCAAGAGCCCAGTGTGTGTAGAAAATAGTTTTTTGAGATCTAAATAGTTTTAGAACTGATTCACACATGTGTGGTGTGGATTGAAGCTCAGGTTTCACAACTAATTGACTCAGTAGTTGTTCAGCTGCTCATTTCAGGCTTACATCAGGTTCAGATCAGAATTTTATCCTGTTCACACATGTGGTTTAGAAACGGTTCCCATAGAAGTCAATAGCCTGTAATCCGCACCTGAACCCCTGAACCTGAAGGCATTGCTTAGAAATTATACAGAACCCTTTTTCAAACTGCACTGAAACTACACTGAATCTGCGCTGTCAGTGCACCGGGCATATGTTTACAGACACCATAGGAAGCAATGTTATTTTACATGTCACGTGGAGCTTAGAATCAGCACTGACTGCTAGGAACTGAGCTCCTAGCAGGCCCGGTACAAAGCACAGACATGTTGTGGTCTCTTCAACTGATAGTGGTACTTACTGTGTGTACAGAAAATACTCACTAAGAATAAACCAGTTATTCAGCATTTTTTGCCTTCAAAAGTCATGTTGTTATACCCATGTATATGTGCACAAGCCTGTCTTAATTTTTTAAATTTTGCAGACCATTTCTGTATTTTTCAATCAGGGGTGTTGGTGCACATTATAAGAAGGTACAAATGCTTTCCTAAACATCAAAAGTGGATCTTTAAATTATGGAATTAAAGTGGTTGCAAACCACAGATATGAAATGTGAATAAAAACATATACCTCTATAGTGTATACTTGTCTCAATCCAGTGCACTAAGTGTCATTTCTGTCTGCTGCTTTGTTCCTCTGCTATCAGCATGAATCACTTCGGACAAGTTCTCCTGACACCAAGAGAAAAATAGTGAAAGGGGAGGGATCTCCAGCTTATTGACAGCCTTGGCTCTATTCCTGTAAGATGTGTGGAAAGGGGGGGTGTCCTTTCCCTCCAAACAACTCTCAGAGTTCTCCACACTGAGATCTGCTGTGTGTAACTTCAGCTCCCCACCTCCTTTTTTTGAACTCTCCAACAAGCTGTTTAAATTCTGGACTTTGAATAGCTGTCAAGAAGAGAGGGCTACAGATACACAGAACAACTTATGTAGGAGGATTTGTGTATCACCTGAGGCTAGTTACTTCAAGCATATGTAAGGGTTTACAACCACTTTAATAACTCAAAAACATTGCAAAAAAGCATCTAGAAGAAAACCCCTTACTTTACTTTATTATAGGCAAATATATATATATAATGTATTTATTTATTTTTAATTCTTTATTTATTTATGGATACTTTCTTACAAAGGATAATGTAAACATCAGTTTATAATACAGAGGTATAGAGTCGATAACTACAAACTCACATTTCCAACTTTCCTCAAACATAAATGAGCATGAAGATTGCACCTCATTGAGTCGTAACACAGGCAAAATCAATTAAATGTTCAGAGTTATGTGAGAAGAGAAACATTCTAACATACTATTTAACTTAGAGCAATTATATTTTGAAGCAAAGTTTTACAGTCCTACTGATAAACTAAAAGCTGCAGTAAAAAAATTCACAGGATACTACAAATATTTTTTATTGTTCTTTATTTCTGAAAACCTACAGTATATTGCATGTATTTCATTTGGCTATTAAAACAAAAAACTGCCATGTTTGGTACTATAAAAAAGGCAATGATTTTGGGAAGTAACTATGGACTCCACTTACAAAAAAGACAGTGAACTGCAAATAATTTTATTTTACATACCTAATTTACATTATATATACATGCAGATGTGTGCTGTTCTCAAATTGTTGTTTCTTGAGTTTTTTAATTCTACTATTCCCAACTAAATTGTAGTAAAGCCCCATTGTTTACTTGTACCTACAGGTAAGCCTAAAATAAAAGCTTACCTGTAGGTACAGTAAATATCTCCTAAATGCGCACTGTTTAGGAGATCTTTATTATAGTAGCAGCCTGGCACATGCACGCTGCACTCGCAATGGATGGCGCACGTGCAGAAGTTACGACATCGAGGCTTGGCCAGTCAAACAGCCGAGCCGTTCCCCATCCATCCGGCAGATCGGATTGAATGACAGTCAGATGGAAACAGACAGTTGGTCCATTTCCATCTTGACCTCGCCATAGAAAACAGCAGGCTGTGTCTGTGTCCACTCTGTATTAGCGGAGTGGACACAGACCTGTCATCTGCTTTCTCAGTGGGGATCAGCAGAGAGATCCTTCGCTGAGCAAGCGGATCCACTGACGATTCCACCCCATCTGAAAGGGGCTTACAGGAGAAATCTACTCAATGGGACACAGATGACAAAAAATTGATTGGGATTATACCCCTCCTTTATGAAAAAAATAAGTTTTACTTGGTTACCAACAGCAGACAGAATTGATGTCACTAACCTGACTAGATGAAACACAACCATCGGATACATAATTACAAATATAATATATCATAAGAGGCTTGATATGACATTTGTCTTTGCTCAATGCTGTGCATTGTTTTATAACATTTGTTAGTTTTAAAAATGGTTATGTAACAATTGTTATTATGTAACAGAAAACGAACAATGCAGAATTATATCGGAAGTTCCTCCTTCAATTCCATCAACTTTTGGTAAGATGCTTCTGTTATTTCTTCCTTTAAAACTTTTGTTTAATTTATTTATTAAGATAACTCCTGGAAAAAAGCATTATCATAAGGAAAGTAGCAGTGGCAGCTTATATCATTGACTCATTCAGCTTTCCTTTAAATCAGTATAGCTTGGTATTTGTTATATAGACCTAACAGAATTACATCAACAGGTCAAGGGTATTTTTCTGGTCACAATGACATTAAACTAGGTCAATAGAAGGATTTAGTTGTAAGGAAACCAGGGTAAGGAAAGTTGAAACTGTTTGCCAGGAACAACACATAAAATCTCAGATGCTGCTTTACCTTTGTAGATAATAAAATAACAGCTAATAACTGTTTTATATATGGCTTTATACAAAACAATTTCTCACAATTACTAATTTTAATTTCTGCCTGTTGCAGCGTTTATCATTGTATTTTATCATATCTTAACAGATAGATACTGGATGTACTGGAGATCAAGTTCTGAAAATAGAAGACTGCTTGGTAAAACAGATTTTGATGGAGATGATCATATAATTTTACAATACACTTGGCTGGACTGTTGTTTTCTATTTCTTAAGCTGCTAGTACAGCACTAAGGTTCTCTTAATCACCTTTCCCCCTCCTTACCTTGTTTTGCTTACTTACATTTTCTTTATTCACTAGCTAATAGGTTCCGCTTGCCAGAAGAAAAAAAAAAAAGCTTTATATAAACTCTGAGCTGTTTTACTAGAACCTTACAGAGATTAGGACTTTCTCCACCTCTCATGTGACTTGGCTGGGCCAATCACAGAGAGAAATGCACACACTTCTCTACAAACAAGAGTATTGGGTTTATACTGTATACTGTATATTTGCTCACGACTGGCTAAATAGACCAGAAGAAAGCAGAGGAACGAAGGTCTTTGCTTCCAAAGAGGGGTCATTTTCCTAAACATGTTGACTTGACCCTTACAAAGGTTATAAAACATGAGCCTGATTGCTAAAAAAAAAAAAGGCAGAACAGAAAGTTTAAAAAAAAAACGCAAAAAATTATTTGCAGATTTTCGATGTCAGCCAGCTTTCATGCACAACCTCAGATGGCTTTTTTTAACAAATGATTGTGTAAATATGTACATTAAAAATTAAACGTTGGTAGCTGTGCAGGACAGTGGGGCCAATGCTTGAGGAGTGGCTTAATGTGATAGAAATTATGGTGATCATTTTGTCCCCCAAGCATGCTTTGGTTTGAATTTAATAGGACATGGTCCCTAATGGTCCCTAATCTCATCATAAACCATCAGACCAGGCACACAATCTCTAATGTCTCTAGGCACCTCTATTTTATCTACTAACTGCAACTTCTCATAATATAATGACTTGACACATACTGCACATGAAATGAAATATACTAACATTCATATCTTTGTTAGGAAAAAGTTGGTGACCAACTTGGAGATGCGTGTCATAAAATTGTTCTGCAAATTCTAACTTGTGTGGTAAGTTACAAATATCACATGAATTATAATGCTGTGTAAAACTGCTCAGCAGAGTGAAGCAACTGCTACAGTTTATTTAAAAAATCATTATTTACATTATTCAGTAAACACATTTTGTATTGAACCAAATACCTCAACACATTCACATGGTCTCCATGTTACTCCACCATAAATGTAGCCTACAGCATTAATCCATGCTGATGATGCAGCCTACACTCCTAAGAAAAAATCTCTCAAGTGGGTGCCCATAACTTGCACAGTGTGGTGGTGCTCACCTATGTTTTTAATGAACTCTGCAGTTAGGCTTGGCTTCCCTTGGGGAAAATCCCCAATAAACCATTTAACACTGCATTACCTTTTGGTGATATTTAATAAAGGGCTTCTATTTCTTTCATTTTAAGAGGTGATTATATAAGGGGCAATTGGAAAACTTCACACTTCACACTTGCATTACAGAGAAAAGCAGTCAAATGCCCATACCTTAAAGAAGAACACTGGCCTAGTATATGGATTTGGGCTAATGATGTAAAAATCAATCTCCAAGCAGTCACATATAAATAAAAATGGTTGGCGTATCTAGTTTAAGGAGCAGTTTGGGATGACTGCAGCTCATAGGCTGTAGCATGTGGTCTATCCTCTGCAAAGAGGTGGTAAACAAGAAGACTCATGTTCACTCCTGTCAGTGGCTCCACCAGGGGCGGACTGACCATTTGGAAACTCGGGCACTGCCCGAGAGCCCGGGGTCAGTAGGGGGCCCCATGAGATGCCCCTGGTACCTTTTTAATAGGCTTTTTTGAGTTTGGGCAAGGACACAGGATCCCATGATCCCCTATTGCCCGGGGGCCCCATGAGTTGTCAGTCCGCCCCTGGGCTTCACCACATCAAGTCAGTTGCTAGGGACACAATCTTTCTCTTTAGCAGGCGTATCCTGGGCCGATAGGTACATTCTGCAGGCTATTTTTTCAGTTAGTATCGGTCCTCCCTCCCCCCCCTTTTTATCCCATTTCTCCCTTCCCTTCAGACTCTTCTTTCCGGACTTTCTCCCTAGTTGACCTCTCTAATCTCCACTAGCTGCTTCATTCTCTTAGTCTCCAAGTATATTCTTTTGCATAAAATAAAAAGACACTCTTTTGGCATGTCTTCTTCCCCCGAAATATAGGTTGCCCTTACAGTTAATAAAAAGCCTCCAAGTACTTCTGAAGTCTGGTACCACTTAATAATCTCCTCCCAATATTGGTTTGATTGCATACTCTACTAAGTATTTAGCCAGGAAGTGATGGAGAGACAGGCTATTGTGCCTTTGGGAATTACCGTGTAATGATTTTTGGTTTTCATGACTATCATTTGTATATTCTCTATTAAAATTAGCAAATTGTTGGTTTATTGTTATGATGTCTGTACAATGTTAAAAGACTCAATAAAATTTTATAATGAAAAAAAGGTCAATTGCTAGGGATTCTCCTCTGTCTCATAACACTTCCATAGCAGTCATTTATGCTGTATATAGCTTGTTAAAAGCATGTGCTACCTTCTTACATACCTGCTTAAAGTAGTCTCACAATCCAACATACCTTATCATAAACCAATAATACAACACGGTAGTAATTCTATTCTGTAATTCAATTCTATTATTAGTTTTTAATAAGGTTCATCTAGAAAGAATTCATATTAATCATTTTAATATGATTTTTTTTTTCACGCTTCTTGTGTTTTAACTATATATATATATATATATATATATATATATATATATATATATATATATGATATGAATATTGTTTCTTATGCCTTTTCTAAAGGTAACTACGTGTTAAAAATAGTCAATATGTGCAATATGTGCAATCTGCCATAGTAATCTGTATTTGTGTTGTGATAAACCAATGTATTTTACTCTTTTAATGTCGATTTAACCATTAATCTTATAGGAGGAGCTTGAGATAACTGAAAAGGTGCTTAATACCTTATGCAAACTGGCGGTAAGATAAATTTAATTATGCAATAGAACTGATTTACCATATAATACGTAAACAAACCAGTGGATTGATACAGTGTTATGATTTGCCATGTTGTAAAGAATTTAAATTAATCATATATCTTAGGATGAAAGCTGCACATAACACAATAATATCACTTTTGCTAGGAGTTTGATTTAAAAAATAACCAAACATATAGCACTAATAAGCAACCAAAATATGTGCTGATATTTTCTAAAAGGTATCTTGTAAATCAAAGGATAATGGGGTTTACTAACCAAATGAGTAACAGCCTATATTACCCCTTTATTGCCAGGCCAGTAGTGTGATATACTGACTGACTCTGTCATGAAACGCTGTACCCAATTGAAATATATATATATATAATTATTATTATTATTATACAGGATTTATATAGCGCCAACAGTTTGCGCAGTGCTTTACAATATAAGGGAGACAGTACAATTACAATACATTTCAGTACAGAAGGAATAGGAGGGCCCTGCTCATGGAGCTTATAATCTAAAGGAATGGATGATACAAAAGGTGATAGCTGCAGGGGATGATCTGGTGGAGGTGATTCAAGTACAGTTCTTAGGTGGAGGTGGGGTAGGCTTCCCTGAAGAAGTAAGTTTTCAAAGATCGCCTAAATGTATATAAATTTTTTTTTTAGACCAAGCTTTTCTGTTGGTGATATTCACTAACCACTAGCGCTATTTTTTATACAGAGAGAAAAAGAATAAAAAAAAAACCTATACTTTATATAAAAATATCAGGACAGTGTAACACTGCAAAATGACTCCTTTTAAGAGATTATGTACCCCAAATTGATCTTATTATTTTCCACAATTTTTCAGAAGTAGAGAAATGTGGTGGTATTGAAGTTGTAATGGTGCACTAGATATAGCACATAAAGGTTATGCACAGAGGAGGGGTTATTGCACAGATCACATACAGTGGGAGGATGAATAAGAGGGGGTTCATGTGCAGATGTGCAGGATAAAGGAGGTATAGGGTTAATATACAGAAAGGCACAGTATTTACATCATATGTATAGGAGGGGAGGGAGTAAAAAACACTTTACTTGCATCTGCTGCTGCCTTGATCTGTACAGTGATCAGGAACTAATGAATAAGCCATTCATTAGTTTATCTTTCCTCCCCATTCTTTGTTTGGAGAGGAAAGGCAAAGCACACAGATGAAAACACTACTTTCTCTATGACCAATCGAAGTGACCACTAGGTACAGAGCCACTCAAATTAGCTCTGTACATAGTGTTCATGAACCAAACCATCTGAGGATAGCTCAGTTCACAGGCATAAATGGGAGTATTGGCTGCCTGTTGGTGTCATTTATAAATGGTGCGTCAGAAATAAGTGTCCAGCTGACAGGGTTGTAAGCACGTAGATAACGTAACAATAGAGAATATTTAATTTGCAAAGTTAATGTTTTCTTAGTTTACTGACTATGGTGAATGTGTGTTAACTTCAATCCACAGGCAAGCAAAAGTTTTTCTATTTATGTATTTTTTGTTATTATTATTATTACTTTAAATAACTTTTTTTTACATGAGTGGATTTTCAAAGGTAACAAAGCTTCACAGTATTCACTCAACTAGGTGAACATTAACTTTGCAAAATAAAAATTTTCTGCCCCTTTAATAACTTAATCCCAGAGTTTATATATACTATGTCCCATAATGATACATGAAAATGTCTTATTTTCAACCTTGATTCTCTCAGTCAAGTCATTGAAGAAATATACACAGAACCAGAAGGGTTGGTTGACCAAAGCAGAGGCTTTTCATCCAGTAAAGTGAATGCTAGTAAAAGATGAAGCTGTGTATTATATCATATGCTAGTTATAAACGTTTTAAACATTTCCCTCACATATGACGGGTATTCATATTGAACACAGCATCACTTTGTTTACCAAAATGTACTTACTCTACTGATTAGTTGTTTTAAGTGCTGCATGATTTCAGTTTTGCATGATGGTAATCAGCAATACTGTTGTGTGCTTATAGAAATATATTTATGTGTGGCTAATTTATAAATATTACTTTCTAGGGTAAAGTTCTCTTAAAGCTGAGTGAAGCACTTGTAAGTTTATAATTTTTTGTTTTTTTCTTCTTTTTTTTCGATGTGAGAGAAATAATTAGATATGATATATACGGTACTGCTGCTGGAACACAGTGCTGCTTTATTGTAATAGCTAGTGCTGGTACAGGACATTACACTACACATCATTCTGTAATGGCCCAAACAAACTATTTGAAGTGACAGAAAACATGGAATTGTATGTTAAATCCAATTTCAAAGGTGTGCATGGGTCCTTTTTCCCAAGTCCATATTAAGCCCCAACAGCGTTAATTCAAATGCCATAGCTGTTTGAAGTGCCAGCATTTGCAAATGAATAACAGGGGGCAGTGTATTGTCCCAAGAGGAGAGAGGCTCTGGGTTGACTTTGGCAGACATCAGGGTTCCGGCCTAAGCCTTGATCCAGTGCTCTACAAGGACACAGGGATCAATTTGAAGAGCAGCATAGATATGTGCAGACATCACAATCTGTTGTGCAATCAGTTGTCACCTCAGGCCAGTTCAGTTTCTCTTTAACATGTGCTAATAAAAAAAGTGGTTGACATGTATGTCAAAGATGGAAAACCCAAGTGGGGCTGTCAGACCAGCCTGCTTGGCTACAGAGAGCTGCCTAGCCCCATTCCTCCCTATCCATCTAGACATGCATCGGGGATTATTTACTAAACTGGAGAGTGCAACATCTGGTGCAGTTCTGCAAAGAAACCAGTCAGCTTCCAGGTTTTATTACCATAGGTTAATTGAACAAGCTGAAGTTAGACGCTGATTGCTTTCTGTGCAGAACTGAACTAGATTTGCACCATCCAATTTTAGTAAATCTTTCCCATTGAATTTGTTCCCATTGTTGCTGCCTTGACTCCCAAAGGCCTACCCAAACAGGGATATTGGGGGATGCATCTCTGGAGGCATGCCTACGTCAGTAAGTACTGAACTCCCAGTATGTGCCTCTGCAAGAATTTGACAGGTATGATGGTGATGTCACAGGGAGTAATAAAAGTGATTCTTACTACAGGAATATGGCAAAAAAATGAATGCTGGGACATGGAGGGGAGAGGAAGGACTGGGGTAAAATGTGGTATTCAATATAAGGAAATATGTACAATTTCAAATTTTACACATTACAGATTAAAAGAGATGGAAAAAATCTCCAGAAGTGTATATATGGTTTATAATTCTGTATAAATACAGACATGTAGCCACATTTTCTCAATACATACATAAGCTTTGCTTCCAGCTTAATAACATAGTGCATTGATAATGCTCATACTGGCTGAAACTAATGAAAATCACTAGGCATCACAGTTTGATAAAGCTTATTATTTGGACAAATATACTAGATCTTTTGATATTATGATATAAACCAATGTTACCTAAATGTATCTATAAGCATTCATTTATAGAAACACAGAAAATATCTCTAGCCTTCATAATGTTTTAATACCTAATATTAGATATTGTCTTAATATATTGATTTAGTTTTGTGCTTATGCTAGTGGGTTGAATCATTTACTGTTTTTTTATATGTCAGACAAAGGGATACATGTCTATGTCCATTGCTTATCTGCATTGGTCATTATAGGTGGGCTTCACTTCTCTGCAGGGCTCTTCATTTATTTTATAAAATGTACAGTATAAGATAGCACGATTATTACAATGCTTACTTCTGTGCAAAATCAGACTTGTGGAAGAGCGTAAGCAGCTGGACTTTGTTGCTGTGTAACAAAGGGTAATTCAGCTTACTATTGTCCACTCATGATTTAAATATCAATTGATATTAAGTATATTCATAAATAGTGCTTATATTATAATTAAACCAATTTAAAATGGATTCTAACTAAACACTGCTGTCCCCTCATTAGAAAGGGCTGGATCTGCCAGACTTAACAAATCAACTTGGTATTGGGGGCAAAGGCAAAGGCAAAGGCAAAGGTGGACTTCTTGGCATCCTCAATTAAATTTGTAAGTTTTAATATTTTTTCTTCAATAATATGATACTAAACAATCTTTATCATGTTAATGTGCTTTTATGTCATTTTGCTTAATGAAGATTATTTAAGGATACAATTACAAAACTTTATATACCTATGTATTTTTATTTTGCACTAAATACAGGTGAATAATAATAATAATAATAATATAATGAAAGTATTTACAGACATTATCCATATGGATGTATTCTCAACACTTGTTTGAACTTAGGAAGCCAGTTGGATGTGTTGTGAAACATCTTCAACAATTCTAAAGTAGTCCAGTTAATTTTAATTACTACTAGCTATACCTAGCCTTTAATACTTTTATTTTTATACTTATTTGACTTGAGAGTGAAACATACAATTGTAGCACATGAAAAAAACATAAACATGAACTTCTTAATGCACAACATAAATATATTTTTAGAAATTAACTTTTAGATTATTTCTTTTAGGGATGACCAAAATTGGAGATTGTTTCAAGAATCAAGATTTATTCGTAGTGGTCTTTCTTTTGGTGCATGCTGGCATAAATTTATCATTCTATAACTAATGACATTTGATTATGTAATTAGTTCACTTCTAATCTATCTAATAAAATACATGTTCATCAAAAAGTACCTGTTTTGTATTTATTTTCTAAAAACAGACAATGTTTTAAGGTAGAAAATGACAAAAAGAAAAGGGAGAAATATTACAGAAAAAAAGAATTGTTGCAATTTGCACAAGCAAAGGCATATGTGTAACTAGAGTTTGATAGTTGGGTGGTACACAGATCAGGGATAACATAAACTTATATCAGCTAAGCAGAGCTGTAACTTTGGTTTGATCAGGGATGAGGAAAGGATATTAAACCCAAGTTGACCAAACTTGTCATGACAATAAACATAATAAACTGACAGATGGTTTTGAAAGTGAGCACCTACAGATCCTGGGCTTCTGCTTGAGTGCCCTGGGAGCCATTGCCAATGGTTTCTGGTAATGGATGGTCTCAACAACATAGAGTCTCCTGCTTTTGAAACTACTGGGTTGCTCCACTACATATTAGAAGTATTGCCACCACAGGTTTTGTCAGGAATGGACTTGCCAATAGTGTTGGGACTCACCTGCCTTGTGGGCTGCAGTACCAGTACCAGGGCTGGCCAGCGGGTGCTCTCAACAACCAGAGGCTCACTTCGGCAATTAGCCATCACCTGGGGCTGATTGCAGGTGGTGTATTTAAGGGATGGCCAGACCTGCAGTCAGTGCCTTGTTGTACTGTTTGCTTGGCCCTGGTTTCCTGATCCTGTTTCTGCTGTCCTGACGCTGCCTGAACTCTGCCTGTACTGACCTCGGCTAGTCCTGACCACTCTCCTGCCTGCTCCTGGTACTCCGTTTGCCCGTTTGCTACCGACCCGGCCTGCCTGACTACTCTTGTATCGTATGTTTGTTATCTGTTGGAGGTTTGGTTCAGTTTGTTTGCACTGTTATGTTTAGTTTTGCACTGCGTTTGTATTGTTAGTCTTAATAAATTATATTATTTACTATATCTGAAGCCTGCGTTTCCCTGTGTCAGTTCACACACTTCTGGTCATACCCGCATCCCTGACAGGTTTACTTTAACAGAGCAGGAGAATCTAATTTACCTCAAATTTCCACCATGACCCAAACATGTGAACTAAAATGGTCTGCAAAGTGTTTTAAACGTGTGTGTGATGATATCAAGGGGGTGTCTATTGGCTCTGGAGTACATAAACATTCAGCCTACTCTGATGATATTTTGTTCTACATTGCTAATCCCCTGGCTCCCAGGTATGGCTCCCTTTCAAATTTTAGTATTTACTACAGGAAGTCAGATATTCTGCTGTTTATGATCCCCCCGGACCTCGCACTCTCATTAAATGCCAATTTTCAATTTGTCACATTGACTTACCTGGGTACCCAGATCTCTCTGGATCCTAATTTGTTATATTCAGAAAATTACAGGGTGGAGAGGGACCTGGATGTTTGGCATGACACGGCTCTCACATGGTTGGGCCTAATTAACACCCTTGAAATGACGATCCTGCCTAAAATTTTATATTTATTCTCGACGATCCCGATCCATCTCCCACCGATATTTTTTAGCCGTTTGCGTCGGCTGTCCATATGACTTTTTTTGGCAGGGGAGGAGGCCTCGATTAGTGTTTTCGCTTCTCCACAGGCATAAGGAGGATGGGGGATTGGGAGTTCCAGATGTTTCCCTTTACTATAAAGCTTTGGCCCTGGTTCGTATTGTAAATTGGACTCATCATGCTGCAGATAAGGTATAGGTCCCTTTGAAAAAGAGTATAGCCGGTGGAAATTTGGCTGGAGCCCCTTGGGTCCCGCATGCACATTGAGGGCTATCCAGTTGGACTAGTCCGGTTACGCTTAACACGTTGAGGGTTTGGGACCATGTTAATAAGTTGGGTGCCCTCTCCCCTCTGACCTCGCCCCTTGCACCATTGGGAGGTTTACATTCGTTTCTACCTGGCGAGGACACATCCTTTTTTAACGTCTGGGGAGGAGAGGGGATTGTTAGATGTCAGACCTTAGCCCCATCCAGGCATCTACTACCCCTTTAGTATTATTGTCAGATTCATGATTTCTTTCAGAGGTTGCTCCCCAGAGTGCGAGCCCGGCATTCCCTTACTTCCTTTGAGACTTCATGTGTAGAGCTGGGGAACTCCAGACACTTGTTATCCCTGATGTACAGAGGTTTATTGTCCACATTTTCTCAGACGACTCCTTACCATATTTGGAATGGGAGGCTGAATTGGGTTTTACACTGGAGCCCCCGCAGTTGAGGAAAATTATTCAGATAACTCATACCTCTTCCATTAGCTCCAAAACGCAAGAGTCGTGCTTTAAGTTTTTATCTTGGTGGTATAGGACACCTTCTCAAGTAGCTAAAGTTTTCCCTGGTGCTGATAATAGATATTGGTGGGGATGCACTCAGGAAGGCACTTTTTTACATCTTTGGTGGCATTGCCCCAAGATTCAAAAGTTTTGGAGGGATATTTCCCCCTGGATCCAGAGAACGACCCTTCAGCCTATTGATTTCACCCCTTTACACTATCTGTTTCATGGCACCCCTTCCTCTATCAAAATTTATAAATGTAGTGTTACCCCGCATCTTTTAAATGCTGCTAAGAGCCTAATACCATGCCTATGGAAGCAGAGTAGATGCCCCACCATAGCATAGTGGAAGTGAGAGGTTGATAGGGTCTATCAGGCAGAACACCGGATCCATACCATAAAAAACAACCTTGAGAAATTTCATGGCATTTGGGATGGGTGGCTGTACCACTCTATGAAATTGGAGGACCCGGTTTCCTCTCCTCCAGAGACGGGCTCTATATGATTTTTAAAAACTTGGATTTGGTACTAGCGCTAGATCTATATGGACCGAGCAGCTAGCATGAAAGGTAACAACCCCAAACCTTCTAAATGAAACAAACAGAATGACATGCAACGCTATATGTACAGTAATGGTCATCCAGTTATGATTCTGGATAATTAATCATATAATGATAACGTCTCTTAAATGGATGAAAAATAACTCAATACATATGAAATCCAGTTGATTCTCAATCAAAAGAAGAGATTATCCAGCATTTGAGGATTAGTGGACGTGCGTGACCTGAACTAGCAGTCTATCCGTGACAGCAGTATGACACACGTGACTTTAGTGGTAAGGTGTATAGGTGTAGATTGCACTAACCAGATTAATGCGCATTTGAGTGATAACACCAACTCCTGGTCATCTGTAAATGGGTGTCTGGATTTCTGAGCATCTAAGAGGCAGCACCAGAAAAATCAGCATACCATCCGAACTTCCAGGTGCCAAGAGGGCAATCCAGGACCACCAATAGGGAGCCACCACTTTAAGATGTCATCGGATGATCTCCTTGAGGGAAGCTCATAGGGAAATGAGCCCAAGCAAAAAAGATTCCATAATGCAAAACCGCTTTAATATGTAAAATCAATGCAAAAAGGATGTAACTTACACTTGGTAGGAGTATAAGGCAAAGATGGCCCCTGGCCATATGAAGAAACCACGTGGTAGGGTCACTGAGGGCAGCCTCCTGACATGTTTCGTGCTATGGCTATTCTTTTGATAACGTGCCATAGAGAAGAGAGGGGGGTCAAGCTGTGCCTCCATGTGTGAATATGCACACGGAACAGCAGGTGCCCCCAGAGCAAACAGCTTACTGTGGGGGCACCCAACAGGACGGAGGAACCAGGAGAGCCAGGGGAGGAACCCAAGAAGAGGAGGATTGAAGCTGCTCTGTACAAAATCACTGCACACATCAGGTAAGTATAAAAATGTTTGTTACTTTTTCTTAACAAAAATAAGCCTTTAGAATCACTTTAAGCTTTTGCAATAATAAAAACAGCCTCTAGGTGTCACACTCCTCCCTCGGTGAAGGAAGTTTCCAGATACTTCATTTCTTGTCTCCACTCAATAAAGCATAAGACAAATAAAAAAAAACACTCATAGTGTAGTATTATATGGATAAACCAGTAGAAACAGTCTTGAAAGTGCTAACATAAATGTGCAAGTGCAATCTCAAAATCATGTGATGCTCAACCTTCCTATCCACCGCTGCTGTCTTCATGCCATGCAATGGATTCTCACCAGATAAAATGACCTATTTAGTCAGATACAGCATGGCCATGTAATATTTCTTGGTCCTCAGATCTACATCGTTTAGGCTTCCCATGCACCTCATAAAAGAATAAGCTCTTTATAAACAGGACTCTGAGTTTTGCTCTGCATCTGCATAGGAGGCCTCAGATCTCTAATAGACCTCTGATGTGTTCATTTGTCAGTAGAGATGAGCGACTCTGCCCAGTTTGGAATTTCAGGGGGCTCATTAAATTCTGCATGAAAAGTGAAAAGACCCTAGTTGATATGAAAATGTAATATGTTAACAATCAAAGAACTAGCTATCGATCAGTTATTGGGAACAGATATTGGT